TAGGGCTGCTGCTGAAAGATTGATCAGACCTCAAGCTCCCTGACTTTCTTCAGTAACTGACAGTATAGCCATTGTTCCCCATCAGCCTAGCATTTCTTTTTTTTAAAATATATATTTGTAGTGATTTCAGAAAGGAAGGGAGAGGGAGAGAGAGAGAAATATCAATGATGGGAGAGAATCATTGATTGGCTGTCTCCTGCACACACCACACTGGGGATCAAGCCCGCAACCCTCATGTGCCCTGACTGGGAATCGAACATGACCTCCTGGTTCATAGGTCGATGCTCAACCACTGAGCCACGCCAGCTGGACAATCCTAGCATTTCATTACCTGGAGGCAGCACAGTAAAGAGAAGACAGACCTAATAGCTCTGCCACTTACTAGCTGGTTTGGGCAAATGAATGTTCCTCTCTGTGCTTCAGCTTCCTTGTCTTTAAAATGGGAATGAATCCATTGCACATAGAGCTCACGTGAGAATGAAATGAGATTCTGTGTGTGCAACACAATCTGTAGCACTGGGTCTGTGAATGGTCTGGTTTAGGATTCACACACAGTTTAGTATCAGTGCAGTCCAGGGTTGAGAGTTCAGAGGAAGAGAGAACACCAAACTAAGGCATTGTGACTTTATTGTGTAGGCAGTGGGTCATCACTTAAGGGTTTTAAGTCAGTGCTCAATGACAAGTAGCTACCATTACTATGACATTATCTGTGGCCACGTCGTCCTCTTCCATTCGAGTAAGCCTTTCCAGGGAAAGGACCATCTCTCATTTACTCATACTGCCCACCTTTCAGTTACCCCTATTATACAGCATTCTGTTCTGTTGTACCACTTACAGATGTAACTGACTCTGAAAGTATTTGTGGATGTCAGTCTTCTCCCCAAAATGTTGGCTCACTAAAGATGATCCATATGTCTCATTCGCACACCTGTATGCCAGTTGCCTAGTACAGGGCCTACCACTGTGTAGGGAGCTCAATAAATCGTTGCTGAATGATCAGTTGAAGACCAAAGTAAACAAGACAGGCACCCTCCAGAAGCCCACAGAACTATGCCTTCAAGAAAATCAGTTTAGCCCTGGCCGGTGTGCTCCGTGGTTAGAGTGTCGGCCCACGCACCAGAGGGTCACAGGTTTAATTCCCAGTCAAGGATGCGTGTACCTGGGCTGTGGGTTTGCTCCCCGCTCCGGTTACCCTCTAGTGAGGAGAGAGACGGGCAATAGGCAAAAATAATTTTAAATGTAGAATATATTGGATGGTGACAAATCCTAGGGAGAAAAATCAGGGAAGGGAAATAAATGTTGGAGGTAGGCAGGTTGTCATTCTAGGTAGGAGAGAGAGGGAAGACCTCATTGAAGCAGTAACATTTGAGCAAAGACTGAGGGAAGCAAGAAAGCTGAGCCAAGAGTAACATCTTTTGCAAACCCACGAGGCAGGAGTGTCTGGCATGCTCTAGAAACTGCAAGACCAGTGTGGTAGGTTTAAGTGTTAATACCTTTGCTCAGGTTATGCCAGTGGCCTGAAATGCCCTTTGCTTCTTGGCTCATATGCAACCTGTATTTCAAGGATCACCTCCTCCTGGAAGCCGTCCTCTCACCCACTGTCTAAAGTTCCCATAAACCCAGTCGTTGTGACTCAGTGGTTGAGGGGCAACCCATGAACCAAGAGGTCATGGTTTGATTCCCAATCAGGGCACATGCCCCGCTTTCGGGCTCGATCCCCAGTAGGGGGTGTGTAGGAGGTGGCTGATTGATGATGTTTCTCTCTCATCGATGTTTCTATCTCTCTGTCCTCTCCCTTCCTCTCTCTCTAAAAATCAATTTGGTGTCCTCAGAACTCAACACATGGCTCTTAGACTGAGGCCCAGAGAGATGGAGTGATTTCCCCAAGATCACACAGCTCAGAAGCAACAGAAGAGCTGGCACTGGGATCCAGGTCCACTGGAGGCATCTTTCAGTTAGGCTCTTGAGAAATCCTTATTACTGCCACTTTGGCTATCCTTAGCCTGACAGAGTAGCTCACTCTACATGCCTACAATTAGGATATTACCCCGACTCCGAAACATGCATACACACACACACACACACACACACACACCAACTATGCTTGTTGAACAAATGGCTGAATGAGCAAACCCAGAATGAAGCAGGCCAGTACAGGGCCCTGGTCAAATTTCTCTGTATAGATGAGCTCCGTGAGAAGCTGCGCATAGCTGTGGAAACTCGGGCCGTCCAGCTGGCCAAGCTGGAGGAGTCTTGCCGCATAGCCATGAAGTATGCCATGGCCAATGCCCACAAAGCCCAGGTATGGCCTGAGCCATCCAGCGCTCTGAGCCCTCCCTAACCCCCTGAACAAAGTCCTGGGGAGTCTTAGCCACAGCTTCTCCTCACAATTATTCTCAAATCAACATCATCCCTCTCATCTACCTGAGGACTTCCCCCTTTATCCAAGGGGACTCTTAGGGCAGAAGATACCATTCCCCACCTCGACTCAGGCTGACTGGGGAACAGAACTCTGCCCTGCCTTCCCCAGCTGCTCAGCCTAAAGGCTTCCAGAGGGCAGGGAAGTTCTCTGTCCATTCCACCCCTTCCCCCACCTTAGGTCATTCAAGGGCCATGCAATACCTCTGTTCCTTCTGCCCTTGAGATGAAGAATAGGGCCATGTCTCCCCTTCCCCTGTGACTGAAAGTTCCCTGAGGTTGGGTACCCAAATTCTCCCATTCGGGGATCCCTCCAGGCAGCTGAGGTGGCTGAGCGACGGCTGCAAGAATATCGGCGTGAACAGGAAGCCAATTTGAAAGACATCCATACCCAGATCAAGAGTGACCTAGTGAATGAAAAACCCCAGATCACCCCACAACCTGTGATGGCCACCCCTGCCTCCCGGATCCTGCCCTATGGCGGGAAGGGGAAGGGTGTGATTCCAGAGAAGCAAACCAGCATCAAGAAAGCCCAGGCGGCGCAATGGCGTGAAAAGGAGGTGCAGCGCCGGGCCGAACAAGCACGGGATGCCGAATGGGGAAGACAGGCCGCATGCCTGGCCCAAGCATCCATGGAGCTAGAAGAACAGGAGAGGCAACTATGTGCTGAATTCCGGAGGGGGCTGGGCTCCTTCAACCAGCAGCTGGCTTATGACCACAAAGCCCAGTAAGTTCTAGGGGGTGACAGCAGGGATGACTGCCAAGGGGTAGGGAGGAATGGTGAAGGCCAGAAAGACAGGGAAAAGGGAAAGCCCATTGGTTGAGGCCTCTGCAATTCTTTCACAGGCAGAATTACCTGAATTCAGTGATCTACACCGGTCAATCTGCGGTCCCACATAACCTCCAGTTCAACACCAGTGGCCGCTGAGCTCAAGATGGTCATTTCTTCCTTCTCCCTCCCCCATGAAGCCCATAGAAGCTAGCAGTTTGAGGAAAATGCTGCAGATCCCCTTCCATTTCCCAGAGGAAGAGAGCTGAGCCAGTACCCCTACCTGTGAGCATAGGTAATAAAGTTGTTCACTAAAATCAAGGCCATGTGTTAGAATAGGACCCAAAGGTGTGAGGCACTGCTTTTCCCATGTCACCCCTGGGATCCGTGCATCTGTCAGTCTTCACCCATTCACCTTTTCCCCCATGTCAGTTCCCCCAGCACACAGCACTGCCCACTTCCTGTAAGAAATAGACTTTATTAGGCACAGAAGGTGATTAGTGGGCAGAGTTACAAAATGGCTACCAGGCTTCCTCCCAAGCTGGAGTATAGTATGCCAGGGGAAGGACGGGTGGAAGAGAGTGTGTTTCGTCTGCCCCCTCCCTTCAAGGCTGCATGCGGATGGCCCCATCCAGCCGGATGACCTCTCCATTGATGAATGGGTTCTCGATGATGGACTGTACCAGATGAGCATACTCAGCAGGGTGGCCCAGTCGGCTGGGGAAGGGCACCTGGCTGGCCAGGAAGTTGCGCACTTTCTCTGGGAGGCTGGTCAGCAGTGGGGTGCCAAACAGACCTAGACAAGACAGAGTCAGAGGCCCGCCCTTGCTTTCATGTTTACCCTGTCCCACCCCCCCAGCCCTACTTGTAGTGCTTCCCTATGCCCAGGGATGGACGGATGCTGCTGCTGCTATTCTTCCCTCTCAATTGCCCATGGATCCCACCCAATCCCAGGTGTGGCAGGGAGGGGATAGGTTTACCTGGAGCAATGGTTATCACCCGGATGCCCATGGGAGCCAAATCCCGAGCAATGGGCAGTGTCATGCCCACTATGCCCCCCTTGGAAGCAGAGTATGCAGCTTGTCCAACCTGGAGAAAGAGTGAAGGTCATAGGTGGGAGGGCCCCCAACAGGTCACTGAGGAGGCACAAGCCTTGCCCCTGCTCACACACCTGGCCCTCATAAGCAGCCACGCTGGCGGTGTTAATGATGATCCCACGTTGGCCTTCCTGGTCTGGTTCATTCTGGCCCATCTCACCAGCCACAAGGCGGATCACATTGAAGGTTCCTATGAGATTCACATTGATAACTCGTTGGAAGTCCTCCAAGGTATGGGCCTGGTTCCTCTTTAAGTTGTATGTCTTGAGGGCCACCGCAATGCCTGCACAATTGACTGCCACATCCACACGGCCAAACTTTTCTTTTGCTAAAGCCAGAGCTGCTTGCACGTATTAACTTAATTAGAGTACTCCTAAGACTTAGGAAGAGCCACACTCAAGGGGCCAAAGAGCCGCATGTGGCTCACGAGCCACAGTTTGCCGACCCCTGACCTAGAGGACCAATAGAGACATGGTTAGAACTTGAGGCAGAGGCAGGCTTTTGTCCCCTAAAAGCTTTGGAAGCACCCACAGCCCAACACATCTTATTCCCACCCCTAGACTCTAGGGCCTAGAGAATCTCCAAGGCCTCACATTGATAACTCGTTGGAAGTCCTCCAAGGTATGGGCCTGGTTCCTCTTTAAGTTGTATGTCTTGAGGGCCACCGCAATGCCTGCACAATTGACTGCCACATCCACACGGCCAAACTTTTCTTTTGCTAAAGCCAGAGCTGCTTGCACGTCCTTCTCTGAGGTCACCTTCAGGAGGAGAAGTGGAGGAGGGACTCATCACCCAGCACACACACTCCCCACTAAACCTATGGGAGGGGCAGCAGAATTATATAAACAAGGGAGAGGCCAACAGAAAACTGGAGAAAGCTGAAAATGTCAGGTACTACAGAGCAGTGTTTCAAAACGTTTTTTTAAATCTATGCCCTCTTTTGATAATTTCACATATGAGTGGAGATTCTCAATTGCTGTGAATCAGAGCACTGTTTTGAGAATTAGTGATATGAAGACAGACTAGCTTTTTTGTGCCCCTACCTGCTAAGATGATTGCATCAAGCTTTACTGGCTGTAGTTTTTTTCATGAAAAGTTTTTCAACTTTGTAAATATAAAATTACAGGGCACTATGAGTTTTTCAAACTATACATATCCCCTCCAGGAGATCGTGACATGTCCAATCCCCATCCCCACTGTTGTGAAGGGAAAAGGAGATGGGTTGCCCTGGCCAGTGTGGCTCAGTTGGTTGGGTGTGGTAGAGTGCAGCAAAAGGTTGACAGTTCGATTCCTGGTCAGGGCACATGCCTGGGTGGCCCACTCAATCCCAGGTAGGAGGCAGCTGATGGATGTTTCACTCTCACATGGATGTTTCTCTGTCTCTCTCCCTCTCCCTTCCTCTTTCTCTAAAAATCAATAAAACTGTTTTGTTTTGTTTAGTTTTGTTTTTAAGGAGAGGGGCCCACCCCTCACACAGACAGCAGCCTATGGGAGGGAGGGACCCATGGGTTCCCAGGTTGGTGCCTGGGGGGGGGGGGGG